GATAAGCAAAATTCCTTAAAAAACTATAAAAGTAAAAGTTCTAAGAAGATGAAAATAGTTTAAAAGAAATAAAATATACAAATGCATAAAAGAAATTAGACAAGAGACTATCGAATACCTATACAACATCTGAATCCAAAGATGCGAGGAATTTCAGAAATGAAAAAAACTGCAAGGTATTATACAGAAAATTGAAAGAACATCCAGATACAGCACCCCACAAAAAAGTACACAGCTCAATACATTTGAAAAACACATAAAAGGTCAATATACAGACCTGGTAAACAATTATATAGGAAAATATATAAAAAACATTACACACCTCTCCCACATTTTTAATATTTTATATAGCACTAGCCCAGCCTTGGCTGGTTAGTACCTATTAGGGTGGCAACAGGCCACGAGGTGAGTTTCTCTATCAAACTAATTTGTTTAACATAGATAGTTATAGCATAAATTATATACACATTTTTACTTAATTCAAATAAAGTAAGGCTGAGCCAGCATTTAAAAAAAAAATAATAATTTAAGTTTCTTAGATAGTAATAAAGCTTTAATAAAAAAAATTTAAAGTCTAAATATTTTTCTTGAGATATATCAATTTAATACTTATTTAAATAAAAGACTAATTGGATTGACTCATTTGATACTATAGAGGATAAAAAAGAAAATTTCTTTCAAGGTTCAAGTAAAGCAAGAAAACTATCCTAATTAGATAGATTCCTTTTGAGAATAGATTATTTTTATTTTTAAACTTTTTTGATTAACTTTAAATTGTTTTCTTTTTTTAATTAATTTTTTATTTTTCTTTTTTTAACTTAGCAATTCATTTATTTTTGGATCAATTAATAGTAATAAACTAGTAACAATAATTTTAATAAATAAAGATTATTATCAATTGATTAGGGGAATATAATATTGTTATTAAAATCTAACTTAAAGTACTTATATATAAAGACAAGTTGATTATTTTAGAAAAATCTATAAAATATTGTAGATTTTGTTTTAATTTCTTAATAAAAATAAGCTATTATAGTAAGATTATAAATTAAATATATATACAGTATATATATTATATATATATATTATTGTATTATATAGTATAAGATAATAAAAAAAGAAACTTTTTTTCACTAATCCTTTGACCATATATAAAAAAAATATTTGCAAGAAGTTTTTATACTTCTTTGTCAATAAAATCTTAATACTTTCCTTAAAACTACTTGAAGTATAACTTTAAGAAACATTTTTACTTTTTTCTTTTTATTTATAAACCTTTTTACTCAAAAACTTGACTCCTAGTGATCAAGAAAAATCAAGTAACACCTTTGATACTAATAGCAAAAAAGTTTTTAAAGAAAAAAAAACTAACTGTGAAGTATCTAAAGATCTATCTAACCTTTGAAGCAAAAGGTTTATAGAAGTTTTTTACAGTAAAAAAACTTATTTTCTCTCTTTTTAACTGTCTTGGCTCTCTTAAAGCTTTTACTTTCATAGTTTTCTAGAGAATTTTACCTATCTCAATTTGATCCTGAATTTTGAATAGCATAAATTCTTATTAAAGGTGATTGACTAACATAAAACATATTAATTTTTAAAATGTAAACAAGCTCTTATTGGTTATATTCATATGTTCGGATAATGTTATTGATAATTGAAAAGAAGATTCTGAAAACATTTGCTTTCAAAAATCTAAGTCCCTTGATGAAAACTTTTATAATATCAAAAGACCAAGTGATAAATATTGTGGATTGTAAACTTCTATATTTTACCTAAGTTCCTTAAATAATGACAAAGCTTTAATAAAAAAAAGCTGAGATCTAAATGTTTCCTTTGAGATATCCCAATTCAATATTCACTTAAATAAAAGACTAGTTGAATTAATTTATCTGATGTCATAGATAATGGAAAAAAAGAGATTCAAGTAAAAGATTATCCCAATTATGTAGATCCTTTTTAAAAAGAGGTTGTTTTTATTTTTGGATTTTTTTTTAGTGAATCTTGAATTGTCCTTTTCTTTTAATTATTTTTTTCTTTTTTTTTTTAATTTAGCAATTTATTAGTTTTTGAATAATCAATAGTGACAAACTAATAACAACAATTCTAATAGATAGAAGTTATTATCAATCTATTAAAAAAATATAATATTGTCCTTAAAATCTAATTTAAAGTACTTATATATGAAGACAAGTTAATCATTTTGTGAAAATCTATAAATTATTATAGATTTACTTTAATTTCTCAATAAAGATAAGCCATCATGATATAATTGTAAGTTAAAAAAAAAAAATACAGTAGTATAAAATTATATAATATTTTGATTATATTTATATTAGATTGTTTAATTTTTAATATTTTTTCTGAATCTTTTAATATTTATAACAATTTAATTTATAACATATATCTAATGATTTTATAATTCTTTATAATATTTATAAGAATATTAATTAATATTAATCTAGCTATAAATTTTATAAAATTTATATTGACTTTTTTTTATTTAATTGTAAATTAATTTATATATTATTTTTTTTCTTAAAAATTTTTTAAAAAAAAGTTTTTATTCAAAAAGTTATAATTTTTTCTTTCAATAATATTCTAAAAATAGTATATATTTGATTTATAATTACTTTTAAAAGTTTGAGTCTACTTACTATATTTTTATTATAAATTTTAACTTTAATAATTTTTAAATAATTTATATATTATATTTTAATATATATTTTATTTTTTATATTTTTTAAAAAAATTTTTTATTAATATATTTTTATCATTATTTAAATAATTATTTTTGAAAATGACAAAAATGTTATAAAGATTTTTTGATTTTTATTTTTTAAATAATACAGATACAATATAAATTCTAGGAGTACAATTATAAAGTTAAAAAAATCTCTGTTTACCTTTGAAAATAATTATCCATTTATAATAATTGCCAATTAAAATCTTTCAAAAGTAAAAATTTGATAAAGGAAGAAATTTTTTAACAATAATAAAACTTTAAAAATTATGTATAAAAATTTTTTTTAAAAAATATAATAAATAAAACTAGTATTAAGATATAATATATATAAATTTTATAATTTTTGGTTATATAATTATGGATTTAAAATTGTCAAAGTTGAAATTTATAATAAAAACATATAGATAAAATAGAAAAAATGTGAATAATTTTTTTTTTTTTTGTGTGTTTGGACTAGTTTTCTTTTTTTAAAAAATAAAATCAATAATTATAAGTTAATATATTGTATATATATATTATTTCTTTATAAAAGAAATAATTTAGCTTAGATCATATATATAGTATATATACAATATTTTGTATAAAGTAGTCAATAGGTATATACTACTGATCTAATTTAAAATACTGTATACAGTATATACAGTATGTAGAAAAAAAAACTATTTTATAGACACATATACTATATTTTTATTTTAAAATAATACAATACGTGTTTCCTTTTAGGCTTAAAGTACAGTATTACGTAATAATTTTATCAAGTTTGTTTATTTAATGCTCAAACAATATATCACATAAATTTCCTCAGATTCGCATCGGAGATCAAACAATTTATCGATCAGAATTCTGTAGCAATCCTAATTTGGGTATCTTTATTCTCATTTTAAAAGAAAACCGTGATTGTATGTTTGTTGATATTTTAAAAATAATGAATGCGTTTGATTAGTTTTTGCATGGTAAATAAATTTAAATGAAATTCACATTTTGTACAGAAACAAGGTTTTCTTGACAGATTATTTATAATTTTAGAGGAAAAAAGTCCATTGAAAAAAAAAAAAAAAAAAAAAAAAAAAAGGAGAAATGTTCAATATTTGATTATCTATGCCTATTAACATATTAACTAAAAATCTCAAATAAAAGCAGAACGATTATTTTCGAAGAATTCTCTCAAGCTCTTTCCAGTACCACCCGTAATCATCTCTAAATCTCGTGTCACTTGGACTTTTCGTGCCGCCCCAATCTGACCCTGTAATCCCCATAAGTCCAATAGGTAAGCGACTTCTTCTTTGTCATGTGTCGCATTTATAAGTGTCTGCCGTAGCTCTTTAATTGGTAAAAGGTCAACACCGATTTCACGACCAAGAGCCAGTGATGCTTTAGCTGAGATTTCATTGTTCGTGAAAAGATTTGGACCTGTTATCTTGTATTCCTTGCCACCATGTCGTTGCACTGGAGAATAGAGAATATGACATATCGCCCTTACGACATCGCTAATATCACAGCATTCGAAGATTACATGAGGGTTGTCGATCAATGGTATTTTTGATTTCTCGGTGATGTAGCGCGCGAGATATAGAAAATGTTGATTTAAAACTCCTGGATATCTGAGAATGGTAACTTGTGATGGTCGAAAATTTTCCTTGAGCAATGATTCAATGGTCTCAAATTGATCTCGATAGGGACTGACTGGTTCTATGTCTTTTTTTTCATCAGTCTCTTCGGTTGGCGTTAATGGTGGAGAGCATGGAATATTAAGTTTTGCAAAGGGGGTAGGAAAAACAATGTGCTCGACGCCTGCTTCTTTGGCTGCATTTATATACCTAGTCACGAAGAAAAAAAAAAAAATGTTACACGAACTTTTTTGATAAACAATTGGTGATTAAAAGGAGTTGTGACATCTCAAAATAAATGTACATACCCCTTTGCGAAGGCGAGTGCATCCCTTCGTGTTATTTCTCTACTCAAAGGATCAACCAATAAAAGTAATTTTGACACCTTTTTTAAGGAGTACACAATAGATTCTGGGTGATTCACGGGATCGATTTCTACGACCAAAGCATCCCTCTCTGTCAGCACGGTTGAGGACTGTATTGTTTCGTGGTGTACCCCCGCATATATTGGAACATTTTGAAGATTTGGGTAAAGATTTTTCATTTCCAAGAGTCCTCGGACAACTGAGGCACCTTTACAAAAGAATTAATGTGCACATTAGGAAATGAAGTTTTGGTGGCAAGAAACGAAAAGAAACACCGATTTTTCAAATACCTAGTTCACCGTCGGCCCCGGCAGTGTGGATAGCATTCCCTGATTGCATTCTATTTATTAATTGTTCAATGAGTCAAATTATGTAGAAAGGAAATTCTCGATAAACGTGTACACGTGTATTTTAATGTAGAAAAAAAATTTTTTTTTTTTTTTTCAGAAGTAGAAAAAATTTTTTTTGAGAAGAATGGAAAAAGGTCGGCTTATATTGATTTTATAGATTACCGTCGTGACCATAGATCGAGGTGACGGATGTAATATCATCGTTTCATTGGTTGAAGTGATCGATATGTCATTGCGCCACGGCTATTTTTGATACGAGATAGTGATGTTTTCTTCCCGTCCAAATATGGTATATCTTATCTGTAATCGATTGGTACTTATGTATGTACGCACTTCTTTATCATTATTACTCAGATTTACCCTTTAAGCATGAACTACATGTGGTAATTCACCGAAGAATAAACTAAGGCGTGTCCAAAAATCGAAAAGTGAATGGACTGTTTTTCCATATTTTTAATTATGAGTCAACACGACACAAGGAAAAAAAAACAATGATACTGTTAATTCTTATCATTATATAGTAGTTCCATTGAATTTGTATCCCGTACAACGAATCCTTATTTTTATAAGATCGGATAACAAAAAAAAGTCAGCTCAACACCCAATTGAAATTTGATCAGATCTGGTGATTCATGTGACCAGGTCAGACGTTAGAATTCTCGGCGATGACCCGAGGAGATTTCTTTGCGTGATCACGTTGACCTACCTCCTTTAGATTATGTATCGTGACGCAATATCTGAGGCAAATCGCGGTAACATCAGTTCCCCCGTTCTCCCTGTTCCCGTTCCTTACGAGACCTGAATCATGATATCAGCAACCATCACGAGACCGACGGCAAATAAAAATTACGACCTCTAGGTATAGACAGTCATTTGATTCTTACCAAATATGACAAAAAATTTAATCAATCTTATCAATAAAAAATTTTTATCTCATCTGTACCTTAACTTACCATGATAAAATTATATCCGCAAAATTCAAGAATCATTAATAGGTTCCGTCGCGAGTGTAACTTTTATAAACGGAAAGTATCTCATTCCACAACAAGTAACTTAAATTTTGGGGAGATAGAACGTAAATGGATAGACAGGTGGAAAAATTTAAAAGGCATTTCAAAAAAGAGTCAACGAAACGACGAGAGAAAAAAATTTTATGTTTTAGCGATGTTTCCTTACCCCAGTGGAATATTACATATGGGACACGTTAGAGTATATACCATTAGTGATACAATAGCAAGATTTCGGAAGCTGTTGGGATACGATGTATATATTTTGGATTTTTCTTTTTTTTTTTTTTTTTTATAAAAATAAAATAAGACTTTTGATGAATCATCCAAATTTCTGTCACATATATTTTCGATTATTGCATTTTAAGGTGATTCATCCGATGGGTTGGGATGCATTTGGTCTTCCCGCCGAAAATGCAGCCATGGAACGTGGTATCCATCCGGCCGATTGGACCAAGTCTAATATTGCCTCTATGAAAATACAGATGGAAAAAATTCTGACCGATTTTGATTGGGATAGGGTTTGTAGGTGAATCAAGTTTTCGTAAACTTTGGGCCCTTGTAATAAGAGGCATAATTATGCATTTATATATACCTATACATCTAGGAAGTGACCACCTGTTATCCAGAATATTATAAATGGACTCAGTATCTCTTTCTTCAAATGTACAAAGCCGGTCTGGCTTATCAAAAAGAAGCGGTTGTGAATTGGGATCCAATCGATCAAACTGTCTTGGCCAATGAACAAGTATCATGGATTTCTTTCTGTAATGCAAAGTGTATTTGTTGATCATAACATTTTCTAATTTAACTTTTTATACCGAAGGTGGACTCGGAAGGACGTTCATGGAGATCTGGAGCTAAAGTTGAATGTAGAAAATTAAAGCAATGGTTCTTGAAGATCACAAGATTTGTAGAAGTAAGTCTCTTCTCCTTTTACATACATGTATAATTATCATTCAATTAATGCGCTCATTGTCTAATAATTTCATTGAATTTCGCAAGCCTTTATTGAATGATCTTGATACGCTAGATAAGTGGCCGGATCGCGTCAAGCAAATGCAAAGATTTTGGATCGGAAAATCAAGAGGCGCCGAGTTTGATTTTGTAGTGGTACATATTTTGCATTTTATTAGGTTTTTGATGTGGCATATGTATCTACGTTTGAGCGCCAGTCTGTTTTCTAGAATTTAAGTTCACACGAATCTCCGTATACGATCAAAGTTTTCACAAGTAGGCCTGACACGATATTCGGCGTTCAATATCTTGCTATTTCTATGGATCATCCACTTATATCGAAAGAGTATGCATCTTTATTTACTTCACTGGGATAATGTATCATGCACAAATAGTTCTTAAGGATATCACCTATTTTAACCTAGGTATTTTCCACAAGAGACGCTTTCCAGTGTGTTGGAGTTTGTGGAAATATTTGAACATCAGGGAACAAGACTGAAGGACGAAAAAGTTGGAAAGGGTTAGTTTCCGGGAATTGCGATTGAAAAAGATTTGATCCGTTCTCCATTTCATTAACAATAACACATTTGATTAGGAATAAATACAGGAGTTTATGCGACTCATCCAATTACTGGTTCTCCGGTACCCATATATGTGGCACCTTACGTGGTTTCTGATTATGGTACAGGTGCAGTGATGGGTGTACCAGCCCATGACGAACGCGACTGGGAATTTTTTAAACAGAATTTGCTTGATAGCGAGGGAGATGTCAAAAGGGTTGTCGAGCCCCCCGAACAAAGAGGTAGCTTAAAGCTGGTGATAATACCTTGGAGGCTTTCTCTAAATCTCGTTGATTGATTATGTGTGTTCTGTTGTCACAATAGAGGACCCTTCAAGCAATAGAGTTTACACATCATTAGGGATCTTGACAGATGATTGTGGAAAATATGCTGGATTGTCGAGTAAAGAGGCAATGAAAAGAATTGTTCACGACGCTCAGGAGGCAGGGTATGGCCGTTGGTCTATTCAGGTACTCTCGTGAATTGTGCAGATTTTGCATTTTATCATTTCTTCAACACATTAATGGTATTCTTGTTTTTCAGTATCGTCTTAGGGATTGGTTGGTCTCCAGGCAACGCTATTGGGGGGCTCCAATCCCAATGATACATTGCCCAAAGTGTGATGTAATTTCATAACCAATACACTTTACATATACTTTATATTATGGAATAAAATATAAAAGAAAATTTTTTTAGGTTGTCCCTGTTCCCGAGTCTGATCTACCAGTGATCCTGCCTACTGAAGTTTCTTTTGTCCATCGAGGTGGTTCTCCTTTGAAACAGGCTCATGATTGGTTAAACTGTAAATGTCCCAAGTAAGTAGTACGCCGATTGCAAATCAACTCCAGCATATAATTAAGTGCCTGGTCTAAATTATTAGATGTCAAGGTCCTGCACAGAGAGATACTGACACGATGGATACTTTTGTTGACTCTTCTTGGTATTTCATGCGATATACAGATCCAAAGAATGCGTTATTGTAAGTTGTTTCCTAAATCGGCTGACTGAAAACTAATTTAAATATTAATATCGTTAACGGATTATTATTCTGATTCGTAACAGACCGTTCAGTTCACAGAAAGCTTCTGAATTACTTCCAGTCAATATATACGTTGGTGGCGTTGAACATGCAATATTGCATTTGCTGTACTCACGTTTTTTTGCGAAATTCATGCTCAAACAGGGTATGTTTTTCCTTGGAAACGACACCAACGTCGCAAATAAAGACGAACCATTTAAGCAATTAATAACCCAGGTACGCCCGAAAATACAATCCATTTGACAAATGAATATCTAATTCATACATTTTATTCATTATTAACAATAGGGTATGGTTCATGGGAAGACTTTCAAAGACCCAAAATCCGGAAGATTCTTGAAACCCGAAGAAATTGATCTAACAGGTAAATTGATAATCGCAACATCGACAATAATATTATATCTATGTTTATCGTTAGAAATAATATTACCTTTTAGATCCGAGCAATCCAATCCAAATTTCAACTGGTCTTACGCCCGTAGTTACGTTTGAAAAAATGTCTAAAAGCAAGTACAATGGCGTTGATCCAGAAGTGTGTGCTGGCTTTCCTCTTTCAAAAATCTTTGCAAAAAAATTACTAGATCATGCTACCCACTTTATAATTTATTATAACAGACAACAATAAATAATTATGGTGCTGATGCCACGAGATTACATATGCTTTATAAAGCTCCGGTGTCTGAAGTGCTCGAATGGGAGGAAGCGAGTATCGTGGGTATGCAAAGATGGATTTTGAGAGTTAGAAGGCTTGTGGAAAATGTAGTTTCAAAGGGACTAAGGACAATCGATTCAAGTGCAATCAGTAATCTGAGTTTGATGAGCAAGGCCGAAAAAGAAACTTACAGGATTATAAATATTACAATTAAAGAGGTGATTGTAATTTTATTTCTGTTATGGTTAATATGTCCAAAGTACCTATAGATGATCAATCTAAAATAATGGTTACATTAGGTGACAGCAGCACTTGAGGAAGGTCATTCATTTAACACCGCAATTTCATCATTGATAAAATTGACGAATCATCTAATTGGCATTTCACCAAATCTGAGCGAAAAAACCTTGCAAGAAAGGGCAACTGTCGACTCAAATAATTTATCCCTATACGAATATGGAGTAAGAGCATTGATAAAAATGATTTCCCCGATGGCTCCAGCCATTGGTGAAGAATTCTGGGAGATTTTAAACAAGGACCAACATTACTGGCAGCAGCCAGTGAATGATGTTGATACCGTTAATCTTAAAAGTACGATATTTGATGAATCTTGGCCAAAAGTTGATGAGAAAGGACTGAACGTCGAGGAAGTTACATGCGTCGTTCAGGTGGGACGGTCTTCTCGATTTGTCTGTGAAGATTTGATTGTTGGAAATTAACATAATGATCGTTTAATAGATTAATGGAAAAACGAAATTTACAGTCAATTTACCAACAACGATTTTACAAGATAATTCGTTGATAGAGTCATTAATCCGGAACTCCGAAAACGGTAAAAAATGGCTTTCAGATGTTAATGGTAAGGAAAGAAGGGTTAAAAAAGTTATTCACGTTAACAATGGTAAAGTTGTGAATTTTGTGTTCGAAAAATAAAAAAGAAACATTGACCCTGGTTGAGTGAAATTATTTATACTAATTGCAATATATTATTTTGGTTTTATCTATACAAATTAGTAAAAGATATTAATTGATAATTAACCAAAATATAATATACTATATAATATGATTTTGGTGTTTTTATTGAGATATTAAATAAACACCTTCAATATTGCATTTACTTACATGATGATTAGCTAGATTCTTTTTCTTTACAAGATTCAACATACATTCTCATAGAAATCAGTTTTGTTCTTTTAATCATCTTTTGTGGGTCATTCTTGGGTCCTCCTTTTCTATAGTTTTTTACTTTGAGATGCAAGCTTGACTATTTGTAAAGATCCTGATCTTGCTGTTTACTAAAGTTACTAGTGTATAATTACTATCACTACTAATTTTACTTTAATTGATAAAGACCAATTATCTACTTCAGTTTAGAGATTGCTTTCTCCTCCTACCTCTCCTATTTGTATCCATGCTATTCCCATTTTCATGTTTGTACTTCCATGGTTTATAAGGAACCCATTGGAGTAAAAGGTCATTGGTTCTTTTCTTTTCTTGTTACATTTAAGTATTTTGATCAGAAAGGATTGGTAGACACCTTCTTTAATATAATCTTTAATAATGTTTACTTCCCAATCCTCTACTTAAATCTATAATATTCTTTTATTCTAGGTAGTTAATTGATTACTATATATTATTTTACATATTATTCCTTACACTAATTCTTTTGAATTTGGAATTTCTAGTAAATGGACTTTTCTGATAAATTTTTTTGCATTGAAGTAAGAAACCATATGTATTTTTTCTATATTTGTTTTGATTATACATCAGTCTTCTATCTTTGTACCTTCGATATAATGATGGATTTCTAAAGTATTTAGCATATAAAATTTTGCAGATCACTTATATCTCTTTTTGAGTGAAAAAATTTATAGCTCTTCACTTTAATAGGGACAAAAGTCAGGAAATATTATAAATAAATGATTTGAATAATAGAGAACAATTGTGGGTAGTTTTTTTATAATTATTAATTTAAAAATTTTAATATTTCCTAGTGAAAACATTAGACTTTTGTCTCTGTTTTCCCCTTTAGGGACCCATTTTTACTTCTATGCAACCTTGATACCGGGCTAGTTTTGATTCTTAATTTTTAATGAGGCTGACACATTTGAAATTCTCTATTTTAAAATATCTTTTGATATTATCTAGAATCAATTTTTCTCAAATTATCTGTTGTTGTTGAAATTTGCTTCTTATAATCATCCAAAGTTTTTGTTATTTGTCAAAGTTGAAATTGAAAGTAGGGTATTCTGAACTCTATTTTATCTATTCTTCTTTCCAAAATTCTATAAACTATTTTAATTTATTTCTTTGAATTATATTAGCTATAGATAGATACTATTCTGGAATAGATTTTTTGCTTGTTTTCTATAAAAGTTGAAATATTCATTAGTTTTGTACTTTTCTTGTTTCATAATTAACTAGTTGATCTATATATATCAGCTTATTGTTTCTTAGTAATGGAATTGCTTTTCTATACTCTTACATTGACAAATATTCTCTAATTGAATTGTTTCTTTGGTTTCATTCAAAAATATCATTCTATTTTCAACTTTGAAAGGTTATGCCTATGTCCTTGATCAGCTTCAATACTTGCAATAAGAAGTTATCCTTTCCTAAAAGATTATTCAATAAGTTACATATAAGTATATTGACAGACTCACAGTATTTGACTTGTGCTTGCTTGAGTCTAATGATTATTGTGGTTCCAGCTGGTCCTAAGTTATTTAATTGATTGCATAGTCCTATTATCTGACTTTCTTTTTGAAACATCCAAATACTCTTTAAGTTATAAATATTGGAATAGTGTATTATACTGTTGGGTAGTGATTGACATACTACAGTCTTATTTTTGAATAGTTTTCTAAATGCCATTGTTAAGGTATTACACATCTTTCAAAATAGTATATTATGTTACATTCTGAATTTGATTCTTAGTATTAGTACTCTATTCAAAATATAAAGAGCTTGTTTGTCTATTAGCTTTTTATTTTTTAGAGCTCTTATAACCATGTTAATTTTCTTAAGCACTTATTCTTTAAGCTCAATAGCTGTCTTTTGATTGCTATTCAAATTTCCAGAAATCTTGCTTGTTCAGTTCTATCCAATTCTCTTACTACTTCATTATTGATTCCTATTTGAACTTTCTCAAGATACTGATTAGGATTGTTAATAGTAGCTAGAATTGATTTATTATTATTTATCTAAAAGTCATTTGAACTATAAAATATTCTTGCTTCTTCTAATATTTTTTTCATATCTTTCTTTGATCATGCTCTCTATATGGTATTATCCATAAAGACTATCACTGTGTATCAGACTCTAACTTCCTACTAACATCACCTTTCAAATTTGAATTTCAGGTAATTGATATTTTGTATCCTTTTATTTCATCATTTTGAATCTTACATAATAGAGGGTTATAAAATATTCTTTACATTAAAAATAAAATAATTTTTCCTTGATCAATTTCATCTTCTATGATAATTGCTTCTATTAGGTCTTTTTCATATATTACCCTAAACTTTCTATTATAAAATAAACTTATTACAATTCAGATAAAATTCTTTGAAATTTTAATTCTTTTCATGACCTTGACTAGTATATTCAAACTGATCATGTCATATGCCTTTGCCATATTTTGAAAAAGAATATATAACTACTTTTTGTTTTCTCTTGCTTTCTCACAAATATTGTTAAAGATTTGTATTGATTCTGTTATACTTTTTCCTAGTAATCCTGTATAGTTAAAACCTCTTAGGATATTATTGCTCTTGTAGATATTTTCTAATTTATTTGTGACAATCTTAATGATATACATTTATGTAACTTTTGATAATACTATAGATCTTATGTTAATGAGTTTATACTTCCATAATTTTGGTTTTGCTATAAAATAAATATGACTTTGTTTCCAGCTATATGGAATGACTTCCCATTTTAAAAAGTAATTAAACATCTTTCTCAGATAGTTCTTTTCTTTTTAATTTAATCTTTTTAATATTTTATAACTGATTTGTAATTTTCTTGGAGCTTTATTATTTGGGAGCATGCAAAGTTTTTCACTTAGTTCTTTTTAAAAAATTGATTATAAGAATTCTTTATATCATTTTTTTTTAATATAACTTCTGGAACTGTATTCTTCTTTTCAGTTTTCTGTTAGATCTACAAAGTTAGCATCTCATATTTTAAATGCTTCTTGATGATATTTTCTCATCTCTTTTTTTATTTCATCCTTTCTAGTTGTTATATATTTATTTTTTCATTTCTGACTTTGACTCTATCCAAAACTATTTTGATTTACTTCCTATCTATTAAAGAGCTTACCATTCTTCTTTAATTATTTTGTAAATCATCACATACTTATTCTAAGGTCTTTTTAATAGCATCTCTTATTTATCTTGCCTTTATATTATAGTAGATTAACTTTAGGCTTTCTATTGCATCACATATTTCTTTTTTCAATAGTGTCTATAATATATTTGAAATACATATTGAATACAATAGTTTTTGATTTAATATTTAGATTTTATGCAATATTATATTTTTTGATCACTATACTAAGGACTTGTAGCTTGCTTAATTCTTGTGAAGTTTGTATTTTCTTGAGTAATATATTTAGTTGAAGAGCTTGTCGATATTTGATATATTTTAGACCATGCTTATGATGTTTTTCTTGTACAGTAGATAGTTTCTTATTCACAAGTTTATTGTGTATTGCTTTATATATTTGTTTTTCAAATACCTTCTATGTTATATTATAAGTTTCTCTTCTACTCTCTTCTGACTGTTGATTCTTTAATATTAATTTTTCTCTCATTCTTTATAGCTTATTTGTTGATAATATCTCTTGTAAACAGATTGTTATTATATAATATTATCAGTAGCATTATATAGTTACTACCTATGATTTTCTCCATATTTTGATTGTCAAAATATAGTAGTAGAAATTTTGTGAGGCTCTATAATAATCATATATAATCTATCTGACTATTGCTAGTGATGTTCCATCTTGTTAAAGTTTTGTTTTTTTCTTCCCATATCACTTGTATATTATGAAAGTCCATTTATCTAGAAAGTTGAATAGTTGGATTTCTGAATGTCAAAATAGTTTAAATGTTATTCTGGAAGTTAATACTCTATTTTTTGTAGAGTTGTATATAACATTAAAGTCTCACATAATTATTATATGAAAATTCTGTCTATGCTTTTCTTTGATAAAGTTTTATATTTTTTCTTATACCTGTTTACTTTATTGTTTATCTGAAGAGATTTAATCTAAATAATGCAAATCTTGTTTCTTCTTATAAGTATATTGACTGCTATCATATATTCTTCTGCTTTTTCTACTGATGATATTTTTTTTTTTTTAGATCCTCTCTTACCAATATATCAACTCTTGCTCCATAGGAAATATCTTTATTGATATTATGGATGTGTTTATATATTATTCAATTTTGAAATATCATTTTACCTTTATTTTAATTAGCTTTGTTTCACATAAATCCATAATTCCAATACCTTGTTTCAACATTTTTTCTATAAGGTTATATTGATTTGTTTTATTAGTAATACCTTTGATATTGTGCATTTCTATTCTTATTACTTTTTTTAATATTTATATTTTTTCATTTCTCTTCTAGTTGTATTTTTCTATTTTTCTCTTTTATAAATTCAATTTTTTCTGTTTGGAGAAAAGCCTCAAGGTTATAATCATACT